GAAACCTTAAACGTCAGTCTACACCTTGACCAGGCACTGAAGTATGAATCAATCCATCACTTTTTATTTGAAATAATACACTGAACCTTGGTAAAAAATATTACTGATATAAACAAATGGCATTGTTGATGGATCACTCTATTTGGCAAAGTCCCCTTTCTTGATTAAAGCTGGCAACAATAGGGATAAAAGGACATCTGAAGTACCGTATCTAATAGATACTCTGATGAACTGTGTTTCCCAGAGGCCCAAATCCTATCCTTTCCTGTAAGAATTGTGACCTCCTGTAGTCCTCTGACTGATTTTAAGGTAGATTCTAAGATGCCTACTTCTAGCACACTGATGATTGAACAGATCTGGAAGCAATACCTGAGTCATCCCAGCTTACAACTCAGGATTATAAGGAAATTTGAATTTAGTGCCTGTTTGCCTTAAACCATTATCAGCAGAAGTAAGACAGGAGCTGCTGAAGAAGCAGTGTAGACATCTCTGTCATGGAGGAGGAGGTGACTGCCTGAGGCAGTAACCTGATGTCTTCCTCTGTGACAGGTCATCTTCCCTGTGGATTAAATCTCTACAACTACAGTTGTTGAGTTGTTTTTCTACTATCTATTGTGAAGGTCAAAGATTGAAAGGTACAGTTTGGCATGCTTTGGGAACATTTCCTCCAGCTGAAAACTACAGTCTGCTCAATAAAAAAAAAAAAAAAAGTATCAAGATGCAAATCCTTTATTGCCTCAGACTCTTTTTCTCCTTAAGAATGGAAAGACTATTTGCATATGCATTGATTAAATGAAATACATTTGTTTTTTCAGATGCATTCATAGTGAATTGTTATAATTTAATCTAAGCTGTGCAGGGTCCTGGGGGGAAGCCAACAAATGCAATATATGTCTAGATCATTAAAAATAATTTGTGTGCTGGAAAAAAACCCCATGCAACTGATTGCAAGGTGTTCCATATTTATTCCATGGTAATGATAAATTGTTGTTGGTTTTCTCAGTTTACAAATCAAAAGGCAGGTTTTTAAAACATCAACCTTCAGTCAGGGCTATGTAAGTCGAAGCAAACTGAGCAGATACCTCCCTAACATTTAGTACCTGTTATCACTAATTCAGACTTCTCACATTAATTCATCTATTTAATCTCCAAAAGTCCCCTTAAGGAAAGTAAATGTTTTCTACATACTACTGTTGGAAAACTGAAGTGTAGGACAGGCTGAAAGTAACTTGACAGGAAGTACCTTTCCAGAAAGGGCTTAAGACAGTCTACAGGTCTTAATCTCAGAAGATTGCTGGATACTTTTTATGTTACTTTAGGGGATTTCTTCATTGATAAACTGTCTCTGACTGAATTGACCGTGTCTTCTTGGACCAAGCAGGGCTTATTATCTTAGCAATGCAGGGAGTCAACATTTATGGTGACTAAGTGCCATTTTTATATGAAAACAGAATTCTAAGTAGAATTTTGTTAAAATACCACCAGCTTGTGATATTTGGGGAATATGAAAGGGGTTGATGCCTGAAAAGATTTAAGATTTATTGATGAAATGTAATCTCTAAATGTTTTTTGAACTGTATGTAGCGATCTCTTAATCTGCTGCTGGAAAACAACCACATGCGAGCTGGAAGGCAGTGGCTGGCAGAATGCTCAGAGCACTACTATGTGACAGTTGAGGGCGGAAGGAAAAGAGGTCTCTTTTCCTTGCCAAATATTCTTGTGGATAAAATCTGGCTTCCTAGTGAAGTGCAGTGGCAACTTAAAGAAGAAAGACTGCATTGAAAAGGAAAACTAAAAGTCACGTTTTTAAGGAAAGATGTAAAAATGAAATTACCGCATTCTTGCTTTGTTGAATATGTATATTTTCCTGGTCCTCAGCATAATGAAGCCCTAAACAGGGCTATAAAAAATTTATTATCTAAAATAAAGCTGCTAAACTCTCCATTAGTCTCTGTACTTGCATGTGCACTGACCCTTTTATTCCTTCCTTCTGATGTCAGACAAAGGTAAGGTAAAGCCAAGTAGAAATATATGTACCATGCAGCAGGATTATCTTAGAACTTTTACATAAATTGGCTGATAGGACAGCTCTTCATTACTGTTTTCTGCATGGTCAGTTTTCCTGGTGAAAGAGTGGCTAAGCCTTGTCCAGCAAGACCAAGACTTTACAGTTATTTCCAAGTGGGTAAATAAGGTGCTTGAAGACCAAGGTCAAGGCTACATCTTGGTCCTCTCAAAGGCTAAACTCTAGAACCTGATCATAAAAATAATTCACAAGAATTAGCTGTCCTAATTTTTCTTTTTTTCAAACTCTGAAGGCTGCTGCTAGTTTAGTTAATTACAGGAAAGACAGGGATAAAAACTTGGTAAATTCATCAGATTGTTCGGTAAATGCAATTACTGTTGTTCAATACAGGAAGTCTCACCTGTTAGACTGCAAGAACAACATAAACAAACAGTGTATATTCCAGGAGTCTTGCAAATACCACAGCTGTGATGTTCACCCAGTAAATAATCATTGAGGGGAAAAAATATAAAGCATTGATTTTTCTATAAGCAAGAGTACTATCCAGAATTTTATTCATCTCAGAAATGTTTTAGTCACTCCTTATTCAATCAAATCCAAGAAAACACACTTTTGCTCTCCCATCAAGGTAATTTCACATATTAGATGTTTCCCAAAATATCAGTTGAATTACATATATATGAGCCTCCAGGAAAGCCTTTGAAGAAAGGATACTAATGTTCTTGTTCTTGAAATAATATCCTCATATTGTCATGAGATATTAGTGATGCTGTCATTTTTCTTGCTTGGTGATGGAGTGTTGTGGGCATTGCTCATCTCCAACTATTTGTCACTATCTGTTAGGGCACTTTAACTTACATTCACAACCTTGAAATGCTCTAATCATTGTGGTGAACTCCTGACAGTGGCCACTCATTCAGGTTAGGATGGGGTTTGCAGTGGGGCTGGCACTTGGGACGTGGGTCAGCACAGCAGTTGTTGCAGTGGACCTCTGCTCACCCCTTTAATCAGTGGAAATGCTTGAACTGGTTGTGCTGGATTTTGGGCAATTTTGAGAAGCTCCCTTCTTGTATCAGTATGTGGGATTTGTGCCTTGTACATAATGGGAACATACAATTTGTGTGCTTTATTGCCTTTCTTTCAGGCTGCTGTGGAGTCCATTGCTGACTGAGTACTGATATTTCTTATTAGATGATCTGAATTTAATTTGTAGCTTAAGAAAACTGTGTATTAAGATTTCCTTCTTTCCAAGTCTTCTCTTCTTTCTAAAGAAGAGAAGGACCGTGAGAGAAGTGATGAAAAATGTAAATCTTTATTTTTGAAATTTCAGATTTATTGGATTTATTGTTGCTTATGAACAAGTGCATTTTCTATTAGCAGTGGGAAATACCCTCAAAGCAATCTAGACCAGAACATGTATGTGAAACAACTAAGTCAAATCTCTTCAAAGAGTCTTACTGTTGAAACAGTGTTGAAATGGTTATTTGCTATGCAATACATTTGTTTAAATTGGTCTCAGTTACCATATGCTGTGTGTTGTCTCACTGAAACAGGGGCTAAAGCTAAAGACTGCATTTGCGTGGCTACTATGCAACTCACTGTGGATGCAACTGACATGCAGGAAACAGTAAAAATTAGTGCTTCCTGGATCTGAATTTTTTCTTTTGACCATATTTCAGTACTAATATTGCAGTATTTAATCATTACAGTCAATTACAGGTCTTAATTAAATGCTAGTAAGCAGTTATTGCTGTGATAGTAAAATGGAAATAGTTACCTGTTGACTTAAGGGCAGCTTATAGGCTCCTGAATAAGCCTAAAACTTTCCTTATTTGTTTCTGAGGTGAAAATTGGTAAAGACCATAAGAAATTCATGAAAGACATTTTATGTTTGAGGATCTTGCTTTTGTTGCACATTTGCAGTTAACAGTATTCCAGATTTTGTTGCAGTTAATAATGTTTGCAAAGTTGCATGCTCAAGTGAAGGGATATTTTGTGTAGTTTGTGGATTGCATGTTCAAAATCAATGTTTATGGAAGCAAAATAAATTAGTCACTAATATCACTAATAATTTGAGCATATAAATAATCCAATGTAGATACCATAAATTTAATTGCATGTGCAGATTAAATCCCTCATTTGCAAGAAATCCTCTTAGTATTCAGTTTATAATGTCACAATCTGTTGAGACAGACAATAGTTTTATGATAATTAACAATGGGAAAACCACAGAAGTCTTGAAGCTTATTTTAGATAATTACCAGAAATATGGTTGTTTATCCATCCTGCACAAACCTCCTGAGTTTTCTTGAAAAATTTTGGGTTCTTCAGTCCTTGAGGAAACTAGACATGCATTGTAATTCTCCATTTTGGTTCCCACTAGACTGGACAACATCAGAGAAAAATTAGAAGAAAATTACTGATTAATTTTTGAGTTTCATTACAGAAGGATAGTTCATATTGGTTTTACTTTTCTACTTTCCTTATTATAGTGGTAGCTACAAAGTTGGAAGAGTTTTATGAGTTTGACTTATTACTAAAGTAATTCGGATCTGGATCATGTGACTCCTTAAGGGCTTTTTTTTTTGGTGTGTGTATGTACAAATTACGTGAATTTTCAGAGTTTTCTAATTCTAATCTGCGATGTTACTAAGCTACTACTGCAAGCTTAATGAGGGATGCCTTGGAAACCTGTGCTACTAACTATGCTCTGAATTCTTTTCTCAGATGATTTGTCCATTTCTGGTAGGTTAGGAACTTGATCCCCAGCTTCAAACATTACCAAATCAACTGCAATGAAATAAGAAGTTGTAATGAAATAAAAAGTTGCTTACTGCATGACCTGAAAAGGCTGTACTTAGCAGTGTTTGTGTGATGATGTTAAGCAGGTTTGGAACTGGAACACCGATGAACTTGGCAGTTTCCATCTTAAAATATTTTAATCAATCCCACTGCAATATTTTCTCAATGCTAGGATTCTGCCAAACATCTGGCTGGGAAGTTGCCCTCGGCAGCTGGAGCATGTGACCATCAAGCTGAAGCACGAGCTGGGTGTTACGGCTGTGATGAACTTCCAGACTGAATGGGACATTGTTCAGAATTCCTGGGGCTGCAACCGCTACCCAGAACCCATGAGCCCTGAAATCCTCATGAAACTGTATAAAGAGGAAGGTCTTGCCTATGTCTGGCTGCCAACTGCAGACATGAGCACTGAAGGTAATGTGTAGGTCACTCTTGCAGTAAATGAATAGCAACAACCCCTTTGAGTTACTGATCTGCCATTTTCGTGACAGTTCGTTTTTTTTCTTCTGTGTAAATTTTGCATAAAAATGTAGTTAGCGCAAAAGTTATAATTTCTTTGTGTGCTGTCTTTAACAAATTATTCATATTTTCTTGTAAGCAGAGAGGCCATCTAAAGTACTTTGTGTCTGGCATTATTATGTGTATTTGAGTTTAAAGCCATCCGACATCAATAACTGCTTGGCTGTTTTTGTTTTCAGCTTGAATTCAGACCATATAATGAAAATATACTGTGTAGGTGGAAGACTGCAAGCTTGCACAGCAGGATAGCTTGCCATCCATTCTGATTAAAAATGGAGATAGTGTTGTTGTGTCAGAGAGCTGTGCTCTGCTATTCCCTTCCCCAGCAAATATTTTTACTTTAACTGTAGTATCCCAGCCTGATCAGTCTCCATAGAGACATTTTATAATAATTTCTAATTAGCTTAATATGTTCATAGCACTTGAGCTGTAACATAAATTACTAGTATTTTTAAGGCCTTGGTTGGAATGCTCAGTTCAAAATCTTGTTTCCAGCCAATAGGTTAGAAAGTGAGCATGTTTTCAAGTGAGCAGCCTACCAGCAGAAGAGATTGCTTTCAACGCAGTGAAATACCACTACCTGAAATAGAGAACTGTCATATCAGTAATAGGACATCAGGGAAGACAGGAGACCTTAAAATCATGATTTGAAAGGACTAAACATCTGTGCTCATCTGTGCCATGAGGAAAAGTTGGACTCTGCTGTTTGCAGCTTCAGTTCCTGGTACAGCAGGGAGAAAGATGTCAGGAAATATAGCATATTCATCCTTTTGGGACTGAGAAAGGCTATTCTGTGTTGCATATAACCATATGCTTAGTACACAATTATAACAGTATTAAGTTGTACAGCAAAAAATCAGAGCAGTATTAAGTCCTCTGATCTCCCGCCCTCAGTTACTATTGACTTGATGGCCTTTGTTACAATGCTTTGAAAAGCAGCAGTATGCAAGTACCTTCACAAACCTCTGGTACTAAAAAACATTTCATTTTTGGCTTGCTAACTTTAAGGCTATGTAAGATGTCCTGGTCTGTGTAATTTGCTGCCTTGTCTCAGTTCCTGTGAAAACGAGTATGCTATGCACATCCGATGTTAATCAGAATGTATATTTAGAGAAGACAGCTTTGTGTTATCTGATTCTATGTTGCAAGAAAGAAACAAGTTAGCATAGAAGGTCATTTGAGAAAAGAAAAAAAAATGTCAAATACGTCAGGCTTGCCATTATTATTCACAGTTCATCAGGCTCTACAGACAAATTCTCAGCCATGAACCTAGCTTTCTCCAATGCAAATGTATGTGCCTTGTTTTTAACCTTAGGAAGAATACAGATGTTGCCACAAGCTGTCTGCCTCTTGCACGGACTACTGGAGAATGGACACACTGTCTATGTTCATTGCAATGCTGGTGTTGGCAGGTCTACAGCTGCTGTCAGTGGCTGGCTGAAGTACGTCATGGGATGGAGCCTGCGGAAAGTCCAGTACTTTTTGACTTCCCGGAGACCAGCTGTCTACATAGATGAGGAAGCTCTGAATCGCGCTGAAGATGATTTCTACCAGAAATTTGGGCATCTTCGTTCTTCATACCAAATACAAGAGTAGAAAAGCGGAAGAGGAGAAGGAAGGTCAAGAGGAATCCTTAGCGTTTGAACCCCACGGAGTTAGAAGTCATAACTCAGGCACCAACTTCACCTCTTCAGATTATAAACTTGTCATTAAAGTCATGAGAATTTTGTTTAAGAAGTGCCTTGGGGTATTTTTTATTTGCTTTATTTAAGCTGATACAATTCCTGGTTTCAATCCTTTTGGTGCAAGTATGAAACCTAGAAACTCTGCAAAACAAAACTAAGATTTTCTTCTAACTTCTTGCCTATAGGAACTGAGATTTTAGGGTAGACACTAAACAAGATGTGAGGTGAAATAGAGTTGACAATATTTCAGTGACAAGAAAGCAAAGGCATTCTCAAAAAAAAACAGTATAAAGGTTGACTGAATTAATGTTCAGGTTAGGATGGAGCAGATCATCATCAAAGCTGCTCAGCTATTTTAGGCAGAGTATAGATTGTTGTAATGTTTTGTAGTAGTTTTGTAGACAAGAGGTATTAATGAGAAAGACCATAAGAAAGTCAGTTTTTCAACTCAGTTTCTTAAGCAGAAAGCTAATGTCTAATGCAGTGAACTAAAATTTGCTCTCTTTGTCTTTCTAATTAATGTTAAATATTATGAGCTACAGCTATGCTCTGTTATGACATTGGGATTGTGCTGGGATATGACACAAAGAGAGGAAACAGCTCCACCTACTGCAGTCTTGCTCTGTTGAGGGGAAGGACCACTATTTATCACATTATTTTAGGCTGTGAGTTGTCTGCTACATTTTGCTTTTCTGGTCCATGCAGTGCTGTACAATGAGCTCCCTAGGTGCCAAATCAATCTAAGCACTGGGGTAAGGCAGGACCTCTTGGAATTGTGTGATAAGCCTCTGTGCATGTTTGACATCACAGCCTTTGGGCTGTTGACCTGGATTTGTATCTTTATCATAGCAAAAGCCTCTCCTTGTGCAACCATTGTGTGGATGTTCATGGATGTAAGGTTTATCTGATTGAAGCTAATGCTGGGCTACTTGTAGGGTAAATAAAGTGAATACATTCCTCTAAAGGAGCAAAGAGCAACTCTGAGGAGCGTTTCTCGGGAGCTTAGCCACAGTAGGCTAATGTTGGCTTTGTGGATGATCCCTGATGTTTTCCAGTGCTATTTGGTCACTTAGCTTAACTCACCAGTGGAACCAACAGCCCTGCTCAGATAAAACCAATTTGCTGTAGGTTGAGTTCAAGACAGAAGGGAGAGAATGTATTTCCTAAGGAGGAGAAGAGTAAGGATGCATAAACATTAAGAAACCTAGTTTCTATAGGTTTATTCTTCAGTGAAATTTCATTTTTTCCAGCCAACTTGTTCCTCCAAAGATACAGTCAGTGCCAGAGTAGTTTAGCTGATATATATTGATTTTCTGAATGCTTAATGGAGAAACTATTAGATATGAACTGCTTATGGAGAAAGTCCAAAATAATATAATACATTTTATTTATCCTATACTTCAATCATCTGTAAAAGAAAAAAATGTTTATTTAAGTTATTCTACATGTGTGGTTTTGGTCATGAATTTGTTTCTGGTTTTTTGAAATAACACCGCCTGTTTAGAAAATGGATGAGAAAAGTTCTCTATTAAATAAAGACAATGACAATTCCAGCAGCCCATGTTGTCATATGTCTTTGTCTCCCAATTTCACAAGTAGCAAAAAGGGTCATGACTTATATTTCTATATAGAACTGGGACCAGCTCATCATTCACAGCTATGTCTTGTCTGCTGTGTTGTGTCAGTTTTGGTGGGAAATCTCAAACAAATAACACAGCAAAGGTGTGTGGATGGTATGGCACTTCTGGTGTCTCCAAAGACAAAAAAAGGTGTTTCTTCTCCTAGCACCATGCAGAGAGCAGAGCAAGTGTGCTAGTGATGCTGTCTGGCTGTTGGGTTCGTGTACAAATGGCTATAGATGCCTGCCCAGGAGTTGCCTCATTTGGACTAAGTTTAAAGCAAAAATGGTGAGGTTTTGCTACTGTGTGCCTCTCAAAATCAAGCACTGAGAGGAGAAGAATGGCATAAGCAGAGAGTACAACTTGCTTAATTTTTACACTGTGGTGGAGATATATTTGAAACCCCAAGCTTCAAATGTATTTCCAAGCATCCCTGACAGACAGACCCTTCTACCAGATGCAACTTGTAATAAATGCTGGGACAAGTACTTGTGGATTTGGTTCTTGTTTCACAGCTATCTATATTTTTTCTTAGGGCTCTTGTGACTGAACAGTGCATAACATGGCACAAACAAGTAAGTATATGACTAAGGAAGTACAACCACTCTCTACTGGCTATTTCCTAATTCTGATTTTATGGGAAATGGAAGCAGACTGGTGCTTCATTTGTAGGGCAGGAATTCAAATGATACAGGAGTCACAGATTCAAGGAAGCCCTAGCAAGGAGCTGCTAATTCATTGTTTATTGTCATTTCAGCAAAGGGTTGTTGATTCATTGCTTATTGTCACCTCAGTTTGCTTTTATGCTGAAGTGCTTGGGAACACATACCATATACAGATTGCATTGGCTGATGAACTGCATAAAAGCAACTTGATAGCATCACATTAACAAAGAATGCAAATAGATCCCAAGAGGCTCTCAGGGGCTTGCCGTCCCTTGGTATCTATTTGTAGCATCTTTTTATTCCTCACTGCCACCGTCCTGCCTTCCTCATTGAGGGCCACCCTGTCGAGCAATATTCATTCAAACCCTTTTCTGTTGAATGCAACTAGGAACTTAAATGCTAAAGGGATCATTACAAGATACTAAAGCAACAGCAAAAGCAATCATATAAAAATATCCAATTTCTCCAAATGTATAAGTACAGAATAAATCTGATTCTAGAGATTATCTTTAGAATTCCAATTTGTAATATGTTCTTATGCTGATTGGATCATTAGCTCTTTCCACAGACTAGCCTCTTGATGTAATTTAGATGAAAGGATGAAGACAGGCTGTTGTTTATACACTTATATATTTCCTTGCTACTTTAGTAATAAACTGCTACAAAATTTAGAGAAGAACAACTCCTATAGAAAGAATTAGAAACAGATAGACAGGATTGGTTATTTTGGAGTGAGCCCAAGAAATCAAAGTAATACACAAACAGTAATGGAAATCAGGTAGAAATATTTTGATAACTCATCATTGAAGAGCATCAGTTGGGGAAAATGGTTTTCTGATGCTATAAGCATCAGTATTCTCTGCTCTGTTCTTACTTCCATTAAGCCATATTTTTACCTCTGTTAAATTAAAGAAAAAAGTAGAATTTGCTGAATGAAATAGGAACATTTATAACTCCAGGTACTAGAATATCTCAATGTCATTATTAGGCCAAACAGTAGTATATGTTCTTTTCCAGGTCTATGTACGTGAAGCAGCTAAGCAATTCTAGCTCTTACAAGTGATTTTGTAACAAGCACAGCCCCTTGAGGGATGAGTCAGGACTTACATGTTATAATATTATCAATGTTTTTCCTTTTGACATCAGAAAAGTGTTAGTGACAATCTTCCATGACATTTTTAGGTAGGTAATGTAACCTCGTGGAAGGGAACTGGTCTGGCTGGTATCTGCTGAATACCTTCCTTTCTCCCTCACTCGCTATTTCACACTTTGGTCCCTTTGGCACTTGCTTAGGTTGTAAGTTTATGGTCTTCCCTCTCTGTACAGCATCAAGAACAGAGAAGCTCTGGCTGCAGGTTTGATACCAGGCTGTACTCCAAAGTAATTGGAAAGTCTCAGACCTGGCAACTCAGTTGTGTGTGCTGCACAAAACCATGTGCAAAACAGTGTTTCTGCTCTGGAGTGGAATTAAAATTGGAGACTGCCAGTCAAGCCTGTTTGGGTAATTGCAAAGGAAAAAGATAGGCTGCAGGTTGTGCAGGAGTGGATGATAAAATCCCTACTTAAAACAAGAATGCAAAAAGTCAAACTTACTCCATTACCTATTCTAGATGGCCTTTTTGAGCTCTAATTTATAAAATCCACTGACTTGACTGGTCTGTAATTGAGAAAAAAAAATTGATTTTAAGTAACCAAAGACATTTGCCGTTACTTTATTACCCTGTTGCTTCTTTTATTCTTCATCATTAAATTGCAGTGAGATGTCTCAAACCAATGATGAAGTTATAAAAGAATTATTCTTATAAAAATGCACTGTGCTGTGCAGTAGAAAAAAAAATAAAAGAAATACTTAGAAGGATAATAACTACTGGAAAAGCATACATTTGGCAAGCAAGAGCTACCTTTTTGGAGGATAATGAACATCAGGCTGCCCTTAGCTAAAATGGAATTGGATTAGTGTAGCAAAGGATAGGATATAGCTGACTGTCTCCAACTCTGTTTACATTCTCAGTGGCAAATCACCTCTGTGGTTATTTCTTTAAAAACATTCTGCTAGAAAAAAAATTGTGTTTTATTTTCCACATGAATATAGCTTAAAGGAAAAGGGGCTGCTGTGAGGGAGCAGACTTTCGGAATGATGGAAGTAGAAAGGAATTAATCCTTTTTCTATTTCTTAGCAACAGAGTGACATCACCAACAGCAAGACCAAACTGTATGACTTCATAATTGATCTCCTTCCTAAATTAATAGAGGAAAGCAATATTTTCAAGGGCAGTGACATTATCATATATTAGCATAATTGCATGGTTGTGATATAAGCAACTGAAACACATGTTGTTGGCACTTCAGTTGTGCTAACAGTGAATCTGTGGGGTGTTCATTCTTCATTAGACATATTTTCCTTTTGCTACCCCCTTTCACCTCAAGGTCCTTCATTCCTGTCTTAACTGGTTTACAAACAGTTTTGTCTAAAAATTGCTGCATTTGTAAGGATGAATAATGAGTATTTTATTAAACCTTTTTAACATATTGTCTTAGGAAGTAAGAACTGTTATACCCAGTAAACTATGATTCATAACTAACTTAGCCCAACATGATTCAATCTTTTTGTGCTTAAATATGTTGTCTTATTTGGGAGATTGAATTTATAAAGATTGCAGCATAATGTCTGTGATTTGATAATTACTTCAATGCTGATGTTGTTAAATTTACATCAAGGAAAATAGAGGGCCTGTTTATTCATGAGCTGATAAAATATTAAATGATATCTCATTCTTGATTTAGATGATGTGACGAAAAAGCATAAAACAGCTGCCAAGAAGAAATTTATAATGCTGGGCAGGTTTCTGTGGTCTTTACTTAATGCCATTATAACAAAATTTATTTTGTGGTAATGCAGTTTCAGCAGGGAAATAATTAACGGTCAGGCCATCATCCAAGGGTAGCAGCTATGGTTAAGATGGGCAGATGGCCCAAAGTCAGTGCAACAAATCAGATGTTGAAAATTAATCCAATCTTCAAAAATTCAATAAAATACATAAACACAGAGGCTAAGAAATTAATATAAAGATTGTATTCGGAGAAAGGCAAGAATATAAAAAGTGGGATCCTAGCTAATGTCAAAGGCAAAAATATTTTGTATTGGCATAGCAAATATCATAACTCACTTGAAAACATAATCAATGTGTTAGATAAAAGTATAGCTGGTATTTAAAGTTCCCTAAGCTAAGTTAAAGAGGTACCACCAAATTATATAGGCTTGAAATACAGTTGCAACATTTAGCTTCATAAAGACGTGGAAGTGTAAAGCTCTCAAGAACACAGACCATTTGGATACCCTCTCTTGGGCTTACTCATGGAGTGTACTTAATTTGCTGAAGCTTCATGAACACAGAAGTGGTGGCTGGTGCCCTATGGTTTGGCAGTCACATAAATCCCTTGCTTAGAGATGTGTGGCTGTGAAAGAGGATCAATAAGGCTATGCTTTAGAAGAGCTAATGGGAAGGGCACCACTTAAATTATGCTTAAATTACAGGTCCAGATGGAAGTCTAAGCAAGCACACATCTTGTTGGAGTCTTTCTCTTCACATCAGTTCTGCTGAAACAGGAAAGCCTCTTAGAGGTCTTTTACTCCCAGCACCTGTGCTTACAACCAGAACACCAGAATGGAAAATCAGAACATAGTAGCAGTGGCCTTGACACCAGCTAAACTCACAGGTGAAATGGATTCGTTGATGTCTATACTTGAGTTATTCTGTTTCATAACATGACAAAAGGGATGCTTAACCTCAGTCCTGTAACAGTAAATAAATGGACAACTGCTTTCCAACTGCTTTTCCCAGCACCTCCACTCATAGTGGCTGTGGGGGTGCCTGTGAGCTGTTGATCAGACTGTATTTCAGGTACTTTGGAATTCCATGTTGATATGGTCTGAATGACTGGCAGTTACTTGTCCACTCTCCCAACATACTTTCCTGGCACACGTGTGAGTATTGCAGTTCGATGGCCCTCATGGGCAGCACACACTCTAGCAATAAGAACCAGGACTCTGATCATGCCTTCTTCCCACCTGAGATATCTTACTTGCTTGGAATAAGGACGCATATCATCTTTAATCAGACTTAGTGTAGTTTTCTTGGTGCCTTACATGGCACTTTCCATCCAAGTGCCCCCTTAAAGAGAATAATCAAAGCAGTCATGATAGGGTATTCTTAGCATCACTGAAGATCTCATTTGTAGGGTGGTTTTAGTTTTTTAGACTGGTTTTTTTTG